AAGAAATGAAGGCTATTTCGTGTTAAACAGGTTTTTTCATTCAGGCTGGGCGGGGGCTGGGGCCGCGGAAGTTGCTCCGCCTTGGCCTCCCGAGCTCCCTGATCCGCCATGGCACCTTGAACTGCCTGATCCACCCTGGAGGCCTTCCTTGTCCCCGTCCTGCACCAGCCTCCAGGGCACCCCCTCCCTCCTCGGTGGAACTGTTACGGCGCGGGACACGCCTTTCGGGAGGGGGGAGTAATGTCACATGTTCAGTTTATTTTGTTATAGTTTTCCTTGTGTTTCCTGTTAGGTTCCTGTTTTTCCTTATTTGGTCATGTTCCGGTGTTCATTAGTTCCTTTGCTCATTGCTTTGTTATTAGTTAAACTGTATCACCTATGTCTAGTTAATCACCCTCGTTTGTCTTGTATTTAAGCACCAGTCTGTTCAGTCTTTGGTTGTCCGGTCACCGTTATACCATGTTATGTTTTCCCGTCGTCCTTCTGCCCATTTGTTATTAAAACAGAGTTTGGTTTGCACCAGCTGTCTCCTTCGTCTTCCTCCTGACACAACAGTGACAATAATAAACCTGTTTTGAAAGACCTTTTTAAAAAACATTCTCAATGAGGAGTAAGCTATCCTAATCTTTATTATCCTTGCAGCACGTCAGTTATTCGGTGATGCGCCATGAAAATATTGTGGGGCAAATTAATTGTAGCCTAATATTAATTTAATAATAAAAGTAACTTAATAATAATAATAGGCTAATAAGAAGAATGTAACAGGCCTATGTTAATTGAAAATGGCAAATTAGATATAACTAAAGTGTATAAAATTATTTTATTCAGAAATGTCATGTTTGTGGTTTTTTTTTTTTTTGTTAATTCGTTATTTAAAGTAATAGGCCTACAAATGAGGAAACAGGTGCAGTTAATCGCCGGCGTCAGTCACAAAAATTATATAATAAATAATAAAAAATAGGCTAATCTTTGTGTGGACGACTGGCAACAGCTGGGGCAAGTTCAAGCTCAAACCGGTGTGCACCGTTTTGCTACGGTTTCCGGTTTGAACGACATGTTTCCTGGAAACGGTGTGCAAAGGTGTGCAACGGGGTTTGAGATGTGTTTTCTCTTGTTTGGTGGGTGTGTCAAACATGTCAGCCCAATCAGCAGCAACATGTATGTAAACCACACTGTATTAAAGAGACAGCTCGTACAATGTAATTAACATCCAAATAAATTCACAAGAGCAAGTATATTGTTTGCACATGTTTATTTACATTAAAGGCAAAATAACTGAAATAATAAGGCCACAAGTATAGATTTGGAACTTCTTTAAGTCTGTCTAAATATCATTTAGTAATTGCAATGTCGTCTGGTCCATATCCTTTCCTTAGGAAGGTGTGCTAAATACTGATTAATGTAACATAAAAATACTATACATATTTATTTATTTTGCTATTGTATTATGGAGTGACACTTTCATAAACTTTTCTATACCCCTCTGATTATATATTGAAACAACCCAACATTTTTTAGAGGGTATGCAGTGTCAGACAGCTCTCAGATTCCATCAAAAATATCTTAATTTGGTTTCCAAAGATGAACGAAGGTCTTTAGGGGTTTGAAACGACATGAGGGTGAGTAATTAATGACATAATTAAAATTTTTGGGTGAACTAACCCTTTAATCTCAGTCGATTCACTAGAAAGTGAAAGTAAAAACTGATGGCGCTTTCGGTATCTAATGCTGCATTAACGGCGCATATTCTCTCAGAGATGACGAGAGACAAATCTACTTCATATGCTGATAATGGTAGCCTATATAGCTAAATGTTTTAATTTACTCCCTTAATATTTCTCTTGTGGCCCAAACATAGGCTAGTGAAAAATAAATTAATAAATAAAGAGAGAAGAAATGAAGGCTATTTCGTGTTAAACAGGTTTTTTCATTCAGGCTGGGCGGGGGCTGGGGCCGCGGAAGTTGCTCCGCCTTGGCCTCCCGAGCTCCCTGATCCGCCATGGCACCTTGAACTGCCTGATCCACCCTGGAGGCCTTCCTTGTCCCCGTCCTGCACCAGCCTCCAGGGCACCCCCTCCCTCCTCGGTGGAACTGTTACGGCGCGGGACACGCCTTTCGGGAGGGGGGAGTAATGTCACATGTTCAGTTTATTTTGTTATAGTTTTCCTTGTGTTTCCTGTTAGGTTCCTGTTTTTCCTTATTTGGTCATGTTCCGGTGTTCATTAGTTCCTTTGCTCATTGCTTTGTTATTAGTTAAACTGTATCACCTATGTCTAGTTAATCACCCTCGTTTGTCTTGTATTTAAGCACCAGTCTGTTCAGTCTTTGGTTGTCCGGTCACCGTTATACCATGTTATGTTTTCCCGTCGTCCTTCTGCCCATTTGTTATTAAAACAGAGTTTGGTTTGCACCAGCTGTCTCCTTCGTCTTCCTCCTGACACAACAGTGACAATAATAAACCTGTTTTGAAAGACCTTTTTAAAAAACATTCTCAATGAGGAGTAAGCTATCCTAATCTTTATTATCCTTGCAGCACGTCAGTTATTCGGTGATGCGCCATGAAATTATTGTGGGGCAAATTAATTGTAGCCTAATATTAATTTAATAATAAAAGTAACTTAATAATAATAATAGGCTAATAAGAAGAATGTAACAGGCCTATGTTAATTGAAAATGGCAAATTAGATATAACTAAAGTGTATAAAATTATTTTATTCAGAAATGTCATGTTTGTGGTTTTTTTTTTTTTTGTTAATTCGTTATTTAAAGTAATAGGCCTACAAATGAGGAAACAGGTGCAGTTAATCGCCGGCGTCAGTCACAAAAATTATATAATAAATAATAAAAAATAGGCTAATCTTTGTGTGGACGACTGGCAACAGCTGGGGCAAGTTCAAGCTCAAACCGGTGTGCAGCTGTTTTTCTAACATTTTCTAACACAGCTGCAAATTACAGTCCAACTGAATGGGTGAACATGCACAAATTTACATGCGCGACATGCCCGAAACAGCCTATAACAATTGGCTAACACTGCTGTCAATCAAACTCATCAAGAATTAAGCAAAAACACATTCATTTATTTTAGTTATTTGAGATGCTATAATAGTTCTCTAATTGTGTTAAAATAGATTAAACAACAACTATTTAACAAATATTATGCTATATGTGTATAATAAACTGTCTTTCATCAGAGTGGGCGAGCCTGTCGCCGTCAGGCCCGTCTGCTGCCAACGCCTCTGGATCACATCTATTCAAAAAGAACTGTTAAACGAGTTTTCTGTGTTTTTGGCATGCAACGTGAAATGAGAATAAATAAGAATAACAAAAGGTAGACATGACCACATTCCATGAGTCACATAGGATGATGGCATTCATTATGAGAAACGTTAAGCAGGAACGACCTGATTAAAAATACCAGCTCATTTTTAAGCATGCTTTAAGTTAAAATACTTCAAATACTCAATTAAAACAATACAATAGTCCTATACTAAACCCCACATTACTTTTTAATAATGCCTTGTCAAGCAGTCTTCTGGGCACAGAAATGAATGTAAGTAGTAGTCATTTAGTTGTTTTTAGCCTATTCTGATGCATGAAGGAAATACGTTTTAGATTTAATTGGACAATTAGTAGTGAGGATATTTGCATTTCATTCGGTGATTTTATTGACCTACATATCATGTAGTGTATGCCACTATTAACATAAATTCCACTCCTCTTGACACTTTTGGCCTCTAGTTAAAAAACTTTTTTTTTTCCAATAGGGAGTTTTAACATTGATGCCACTGAAGAGCTGTTCCCAAAAAACCTTTCAGTGAAAAGTTCTTTAAAGAAAAAAAAAAAAAGATGTAGATGGCAGAGGCAGATGGAATCCTGTAAAACAAGTTGTGCATAAGTGCCTTGTGGCAATCTTGTGTACAGGGAATGTTATCACTGACTATAAAGTAGTTATCAGTCACTATAAAGTAGGCTACTGCTTGCCTTTTGGAAAAAAATTCAATTTAGTTGTGTCTAGGCTGTTCAACTGAGTATACAATTTAAGGAAAAGTCTATTTTGTGACCCTGTAAGTTTGTTTTTGAGGCAGTTGTTTACATTGCACAAGGTTGCACAGAGTGAAATAATTTGAATTTTTATTGAATAGTGGGGATTAGCCTTGTAGGGTAAGCATTTGTTTCTCTTTGTCAGATAATTAATTACAATGTATATTTAAATATGATGTAATCAGCAGACAATAGAGGTTTGACAATGCTATCATAAAGGAATAACCATTTCGACTTCAAAAATGAACAAAACTTCGAAATGGAAGATATGAATCTTTCTTGAAAGGAGATCAAGTGTGAGGTTTTGCTGTTTATTTTATTACTGAGGTTAACACCCTTGCCCAGTTTAAATTTTTATGTGAGCAAGTATAACACTTTTTAAAGTGAGAAAAAGTTAAATATGCAATTAAATATGATATAAATGATAATGGAAATTAAACTTATCAAATTATATTAAAAGAAGATTATTAAATGCACAAATAATAAAAGGAAAATATAACTTTCTAATCTTTATGTTTTTTCTTTACTTTCATAATATGGAATTAATTTTTTATTGTTTTTTTATTTTTTTTATTTTTGTTTTTGTTCTAGTTCAAGCATTAATAATCAAGGATTGTGAATGAATGACTTTTTGACTCTGCCCTGACTGCAGCTGCATACTTTTGTCAACATTCAAGGTGTGGCATTGGCAGACTATTGTCTCAATGAGAAACTCTTTGAAAAACCTTGTTTGTTCAAAACATGCAAGCAAGACACCACTACACCACCATTATTGAGTTGCTCTGAGATGTAATCAAGGATTGTGAATGAATGACTTTTTGACTCAACATTCAAGGTGTGGCATTAGCAGACTATTGTCTCAATGAGAAACTCTTTGAAAAACCTTGTTTGTTCAAAACATGCAAGCAAGACACCACTACACCACCATTATTGAGTTGCTCTGAGATGGGGACGGGACTCTGTGGTTTTGCTTGGAACTATTTTTTGATGGTAGAGCAAATATAGACAAAGTGACTGGGAATACATGCGCGTAAGATGTAAGTTAACTTTTTTCATTAAACTGTTTTATGAATGCAACATAACACTGTTAAGTTGTGCTATACTGTAGGTAGAAATTTGTTGGCGAAATGTTCATAATGTGTAACAAGAGCCTTTATTTCTCCCTACAGAATGAAAAACTTGTGGCTGCACCTCAAACAGAAAAACACCATCTTATTTTCATTTTTAGCACTGACACTTCTCATGTGTTGTTTTGTCATACTTTTAAGTCTAAATGAAGGAGGAAGACAGGAAACCAGAGTGTTTGAGTGGCCACGGCTGACAGTACAATATGAAATTAATTGCACAGCAATATATGAAATGGAACCAGTGGAATTGGGCAAAACTTTAGCCATTCGCAAGCAAAAAAGCTACATAGGGCCAACAGATGAGGCTGTTGTGAATGCCACCTCTGACTGTGATCGATTTGTGTCACAAGGTTATGGTGCGATTCAAGGCTCTGACTTTGAGCGTGAATTTCCCCTTGCTTTTTCTTTGGTTGTTCACCAGGATGTGGCTCTTGTGGAGAGGTTACTAAGGGCCATTTATATGCCACATAACATATACTGCATACATTATGATCTGAAGTCCTCAGATGACTTCATTTCAGCAATGAAAGGTCTGGCCCGCTGCATCCCCAACGTCTTCATTGCCTCAAAGCTGGAGAGGGTGCAGTACGCAGGAATCTCACGACTCAAAGCGGATCTTAATTGCCTGTCTGACCTCCTAGATTCTGAGGTCAAATGGAAGTATGTAATCAACCTCTGTGGTCAAGACTTTCCACTTCGGACAAATGCTGAGCTGGTGTCGGATCTAACAGAGCTGAAAGGCAGGAACATGGTGGAGAGCAAGTGGCCTGGAGGAAAGCAATGGCGCTGGACTTTTCATCATTTACTGAAAGATAGTAATTCAGAGTACTACAACTCACCTGTAAGCACTTCTGAGATGAAATCTCCACCTCCTCACAACATAGACATGTTTGTGGGCAGCGCGTACTTCACACTCTCAAGGGAATTTGTGGTTTTTGTTCAACAGAGTTCCCTAGCCAGGGATTTCTTGGCTTGGTCTGAGGATACATACTCACCTGATGAACATTTCTGGGCAACTCTGATTCGTGTGCCTGGAGTACCAGGGGAAGTGCCAAGATCTGATCCTGAGATCTCAGAACTGATAAGTAAAACCCGCCTGGTGAAGTGGTGGTCTTTAGAAGAGAGACTTTATCCACCATGCACTGGAGTCCATGTGCGAGAAGTGTGTATTTATGGTGCTGCGGAGCTCAGATGGCTGCTAAACTATGGCCACTGGTTTGCTAATAAAGTGGATCCAAAAGTGGATCCTGTTCTTATGGAATGTTTAGAAGAAAAGCTTGCAGAAAAACGTCTGAGTGTGTAGAGTGAAGTATAAATAATGGATTCTCATTCTGGAGATCACTAATACTGGACATCTGGTTTCATGTTGCAAGTTATTCTCTGTCGCCCCCTGCTGTGTACAAAAGAATGGAGCATGAGTTGGTTACTTAATGTATTATTGCATTGTTTACCATATTACCCCTGCAAAATAACTACAAATTGAAATAATAATAAAAAAAAATATTCATAAAATGAATGTAGTGTTCATTAAGCAGATCTCCAAATACTAATGAGATATAGAATGTGTCATTTAGAATTGTAAGATTATTTATTTGTATATACGAAAGATACTTTGTAAATTATTTTAAATTTGTATTATTATCAGTTTTTTGACCCACTGTTAACAAAAAAATGGTCAATAGCGCAACTGAGCTCTCAAAACGTCAGAATTGTCTAGCAAAATAACGAAATGAATACATGAATTATCATGGCTTTAAGTTCAAGCAATACTAAAGTTAACCCAATTGAAAAAGGAAGGGTAATAATGTGTGTAAATTCTCTGCTATCGTCGACATTTATGTGCATTATCATGCAGCAGCTTTAAACAATTTTGCAGCATGAACGTACAAATATTTGTCATGCCAATAAAGAATCTTAAAGCTGAAACTAATGCATGTAACTTGCTTAAAATGATTTATATTATATTATACAGTATTTATAGTATTATAGTTTCCGTTTTCATTTGAATTTGAGTATTTTTATTAGTTTTTTATATTTTACCTATTCAACTTCTGTTTTATTCTTATTTCAGTTGTATTTTTTATGATGGTTAAGGATATTCATGCTTTCCACTATTGAGTCTTTATTTGTCTCTTTTCATTCATTCAAGCTTACAGAAATCCTAATTTACACATTATATACATAACCTAAACCGAAATCTACGGACCTAACCCCAAATTATATTAGAAAACTGTACTAAATCTGTTAAATTCTTTTGTAACACTTTTTATCAGTGTTGCCAATTTGGGGATTTTGTCGCCAAATTTAGCTACTTTCTCATTGTAGCTGCGACTTTCTTTTATTTTTTGAGACAAGGAGCTATTTTTTACTTGCCCACACCCTGCCGTAGGCCCGTGACCTCTCACGTTTGCTCTCAATCATGCCAATGATGAGTCTGCACAGTGAACACATCAGTACACCACGCTTGCCATGACGCACACCACAATTTCATTATAAGCATCAATCAAGATGGCGGGAAAAAAAATGATGAAAAATCTTGTTTTTAACCACAGACACAAAAGTTATACCACAATTCATGCACAGTCATGTCAACCAGATACTGAGAGAGAGAGACACAGTGCATCATCGTGTCATGTGTGCTGGGATGCAGTATTTTGCACTTACTTTGTAGTAATAGAGTGTGTTGACTGAAATACGTTTGTATGAATAAAGTTTTTGTTTTTGGAGAATCATAATATCTCTTAGCTGTTGTATTTGAGCAGGACAGGGATGCACTTTGGTGACACATAAAACAAATTCCCAGCATTATGTGTCTTTTGTGTCTTTCCATCATGTTTGAAGCGCTTGCAGATCACAAGCATTTCCTAATTTCACTTAAGAATTTTTTGTCATAGTTAATCTTTTGTTATATTTTTTATACTGTCATCATTTGTAAAGTATATATATATATATACTTTCCTTTGCATTTACCAAATGTACCTATATTTGTTTTCATATTTGGCGACTTTTTGTGAAAAATGGAGACTTTTGAAGGTGGGTTATGAGATTTTCTGAGGGAGGGGTTTGGCAACACTGTAAACGCTGGGATAAACGATGGGGAAAGCTGAAGCTGATGCTTCACTTTATAGCACTGACACCAGTTATGAGGGAATATGTTACCCCTAAACACTGAAAAGATATTAGGATATTACGACAACATCACTCTTAGGACATAGCAAACAAATTTTTGTCATGAATATGACTTTACCTGATGGAGAAGAAAAGACAATCGCAACTTCCGTTTCATGCCGACTTTAAATCAGGATTATGTGTCATAGTTCATTAGGACATTTAAGTAGCTTTTATACACCTGCATTAGAAACAAACAAAATAAACATTACTGGTGTACATCTTGAGACAAATCAATGCCACACTGACATATTTAGAAATGCGAGTACAAGTTTCTTTCAGTTAAAACAGCTCAGACATGCGTTTTAGTGTGGGACTAGGTTTAAGCCTTCTCTGTCAAATCGGGGAAATATGTATTAAATTAACCCTTAGGTATTGTTCATTTGGGAATTGCTCTTTGTATTTCCCATTCATTTCCATTGGCCGCAAACAACACAAGTGTGACTTGAACAATGCCAGAGGGTTAAAGTCCGCATGAAATCAAAATGGACTCTATTTACTCTATTGCTAGTCTTGATGTGAAAAATTAATCCGTGCAAGTTAATCCGCTGAAAAATTACTCGACAAAGAACACGCGAGTGAATACGTTTTAAATTACATTTAAATGTGACTTTGTAATGACCTTTATTACATGCTCAGTAAATTGCATCAATTTAATTGGTGCATACCATGTTTAATTATGAATTCATATGTCAAATTAACTATGAAATTGCAAATCACTACGATAACATAGGATGGTGACTTTTATTTTGAAACCTGCTGAATCGTTTACCTCGGTCGCTGACTTCACCACACAAATGGACAGTTCGGTCGCTAATCCTTCTGTGTGGGACACACAAAAAGTGTATAAACACCACGAGCAACGAAATGTTGCCCAAACACGCCCAAAATACAGAGAGGGGAGGCGCCTCAAAGCTGTTAAGGTGGGTTTATTTTATAAATTGTTTTAGTCTATGTGAGCTCCGTATTTTAGCTTGTCGTATCAGTATGCACCGAATGCACAAAGATGTGGTCACCTCTCTAGGTTTTGAGCCACTGCAAATAATATTTTTGACTGTATCACTGATTTCAGGTATATACCATCAACTTGGAGTCTCGGTTCCTGTTAGTTCAAGGAGTGCCCGCTATTGGAGTGATGCCAGAGCTGGTGCAGCTCTTTGCTCTCTATGGAGTGATCGAGGAGTACAGGGCGCTGGATGAATACCCAGCAGAGCAGTTCACTGAAGTCTACTTGTTTCAATTCCAGAAACTGACGAGTGCAAGGTAAAGACAGACTAAAACATGTTTAAAGTGAGCATGTGCCACACTGGATATTTTGAAATGTCTCTTATGCTCATCAAGGCAAGGCTGCATTTATTTCATCCAAAAAAAAATCGGTATATACAGTTAAACTGACTTTATTATACTTTAAAATAAAACTATTTTCTATTTTAATGTATTTCAAAATGTAATTTATTCCTGTGATGCAAAGCTGAATTTTCAGCATCATTACTCCAGTTTTCATTGTCACATGATCCTTCAGAAATCATTCTAATATGCTGATTTGCAGTTACGTTTCTTATTAATATGGTGTAAACACTTGTTGTGCTTAATATTTTTGTGAAAACTTACACATTTTCAGAGTTTTTAGACGAACAGATAGTAGAAATAGAATTTGTTTGTAATATTGTAAATGTTAAGTGTCCTTTCTAAATAAACGTATTTTACATTTATGCTTTCAGCAGACTTTGTATTCAAAGCAACTTCTAAAAGCAATTCAAAAACAATTTGTCAAGGAGAGAACAATATTCACAATATACAATGTGAGGCTTTTTTGGCAACAAGCTATAAAAGGAGAATTTTTTGTGTGTAATTTAATCTTTTAACCTTTTCTCAAGGTCATGACACTGCAAGCTGAATATTATAAAGAATTTAATGCTAATATTTATCTAAATATGATTAACTTAAATCTAAAAATTCTATTAAAAATGTGATGATTTATTGAACTTTTTAATGTCTGTAATAAAACAGATTTTTATTAAGTTATTTTTTAACCTATATGGTCATGAGGGACTCCAAAGGCTCTTTTCTCATGAAATGACATGTGTATGTTACAATGTGGACATTTTCAGGGTAGCTAAACGGCACACTGATGAAAAGAGCTTCTTTGGGGGTCAGCTGCACGTCTGCTATGCCCCATATACACATTATATACATAACCTAAACCGAAATCTACGGACCTAACCCCAAATTATATTAGAAAACTGTACTAAATCTGTTAAATTCTTTTGTAACACTTTTTATCAGTGTTGCCAATTTGGGGATTTTGTCGCCAAATTTAGCTACTTTCTCATTGTAGCTGCGACTTTCTTTTATTTTTTGAGACAAGTAGCTATTTTTTACTTGCCCACACCCTGCCGTAGGCCCGTGACCTCTCACGTTTGCTCTCAATCATGCCAATGATGAGTCTGCACAGTGAACACATCAGTACACCACGCTTGCCATGACGCACACCACAATTTCATTATAAGCATCAATCAAGATGGCGGGAAAAAAAATGATGAAAAATCTTGTTTTTAACCACAGACACAAAAGTTATACCACAATTCATGCACAGTCATGTCAACCAGATACTGAGAGAGAGAGACACAGTGCATCATCGTGTCATGTGTGCTGGGATGCAGTATTTTGCACTTACTTTGTAGTAATAGAGTGTGTTGACTGAAATACGTTTGTATGAATAAAGTTTTTGTTTTTGGAGAATCATAATATCTCTTAGCTGTTGTATTTGAGCAGGACAGGGATGCACTTTGGTGACACATAAAACAAATTCCCAGCATTATGTGTCTTTTGTGTCTTTCCATCATGTTTGAAGCGCTTGCAGATCACAAGCATTTCCTAATTTCACTTAAGAATTTTTTGTCATAGTTAATCTTTTGTTATATTTTTTATACTGTCATCATTTGTAAAGTATATATATATATATATATATATATATATATATATATATATATATTTACTTTCCTTTACCAGATTTACCTGTATTTACTTTGTTTTCATTTTTGCCGACTTTTTGTGAAAAATGGAGACTTTTGAAGGTGGGTTAGGAGATTTTCTGAGGAAGGGGTTTAGCAACACTGCTTTTTATTTGTGCAGCTTGACTCCATGTTTTTCAGCAATCACTCCTGTATTTTACTGTCTAGTGATTTCTTAGCACAGATTCTCTACTGCTCTTTATGCTCTTTTAACACATTTCTTTGAATAAAAATCCTTTACTTTGGGATATTTGAGACCTCTCACATTCCGTAGAAAGCAGCTGGGTGCGCGCGCAAGGCTAACCGCGCACAAGAGCTGACGCTATTAATAACAAGCGGAGGATACGTGATTATATCGGCTACTGGTTAAATAACCCGCTCAAAGGAAAATATAAAAGACATAAAAACCACATCGTCAGCAGGGTTAAGGTGAGTCGACAGCTGTCCTCCAGTCGCGTACATGGTTGGTAGTTTCTCGCGTGTTGCGAAAGCGAACTGAACTGGCACGGCCCAGTCAGTCAGTATTGAGGGGATGCAGTTTATTTAGATGTCTGAGATTAAATATATTTAGTAATTTAATAATCGATTATTTAAGATGATATCTTTCATAATCTGCCAGGAACGGTCGTATCTGAGACGTTGTGCTGAAATGTTACATTACATTTCTGGACATTTTGCTCAAATGAAAGAACGATTGAGATGTGCATGCGGCTTCAGGTGAGGCGCACAAATATTGGGTAAAATATGAGCGTACGCACGAAACTCGTGTTTACTTCAAGATTCCTGGATGTGCGTGAATTTGCAATAACTGATGTGATTGACGAGTCTGAATTTGAGCATTTATTTAATAATTATTATTTAGACTTGTTCTACTTTTTGTTTTGTTTTGATCGTTTGGATTCTTCAGTTGTCGCCTTCTTGGTTAATGTTACAGTGATAAAATATCTTGAAGCAGTAGTTTTATTAATGCTTTATTTGACGACTTCTTTTATTGATCGCAGAGCAGCATGATGTGGAAACGTTTTCTGACACACCCCCTCGGTTTGGCTCGTTCCCTGCTGTTTGTGTAAATGTGACAGACAGAACAAAGGTGCTTCATTTAATCATTGTAATCATTTTCAAGACAAATTGTCACTTATTTTGAATAAAGTTCATTTAGTCAGTGGAGTTCGTAAACTGGCAGCTAGCGATGTCCAATTCGTGAGCGAATCACTTAATATGGATCTTTTCGATGATTCGGTTGAAGCCGGTTTTGTTCACGGAGCGTTCAGAGCGGATCTTCAAATCAACTTGAATTGTTGAACCGATCCAACACGAGAACTGATAAGCGAACCAAATTTGGTCGGAAGAAAGGTTATTTAGTTTAATACGTTAACGTAAACATACTGGGCAAATGTTGAATCATGTACTTAAGTGGTTGGATGAATCCGTCTCTGAACCGGTTCATTAAAATGAACTGTTCGAAAGAACCGATTCGTGACTTCCCATAACTGGAGTTTGTTGTGAGGTGGTATTCGTGTCATATAGCGTATCCCCTTTTCATGGAAAGAGAACACTGTGTTCTTTTTGAACGAGAGAGAGAGAGAGGGGGGTTCTGTTAAAATTCAGACCATGAACTGAGAATTACATACTTTTGCTGACATCAGCTGCTGCTGACATTTTTTTTTTATTATTCTTTAGCACCAAAGAGACCACAATTTAAAAGGGTCATATGATGTTGCTAAAAAGAACATTATTTTGTGTATTTGGTGTACTGAAATGTTTATGCGATTTAAGGTTAAAAAAAACACTATTTTCCACATACTGTACATTATTGTTTCTCCTCTATGCCCCGCCTTTCTGAAACACGTCGATTTTTACAAAGATCATCGGTCTGAAAAGCGAGGTGTGCTGTGATTGGCCAGCTATCCAGTGCGTTGTGATTGGCCGAATACCTCAAGCGTGTGACGGAAATGTTACGCCCCTCACCATACGGTTATATATAGCAGTGTATACGGTCCGGCCGGAGCGATGATTCAAAAACATGAAAACCCATTATAAACGAGGCATTTGTTGCATCCAGTGGGGACATAATTATGGATTATAATGACTTATACTGTCTTTTTACGCGTTGCGTGGCATCGCGAGTTACGCCTTCTTTCTTTGCGTGAACATTTGGGTGGTGTTATGCAAATCTTCCCACATAGTGAGGTAGATATGTGGGGGCGTGTTAAAATGAGCTGTTTTAGGTAGGCGTGGCTGACTCTGAACTTTTATAAAGAATATCTCTTTGGATTTGAGACTTTAGTCTTTGCAACTTTACAGATCTTCTTTATTCACCAAGAGCTTGTAACACTCCAAAGACAAAGGAAAAATTTAAATCGCATCATATGACCCCTTTAATGTAGATTGATTTGTTAACCAACTGTTTGTATAGTGTTATCTACCAAACCAGTTCAATCTAGCACCAGAATTCAAACAACTCGCCCTCCCCTCAGAAACTACACAATCTCACACACACCCTCCTTGTTTTTATGAGCACAGCGTCGCTCCACCGCCAGTGATGTTTCTCTTGTGAATTATCTTTCACTCTAGTTTGAGTTGTCATCTTTCACTGTCAGTTCTTAATTAAATCGCCCAACAAGTTGGAAACTTGCATTTAGGAACATGTTTTGCATTGTCTTGATAGCCTCCCACCTTAATTGTGCTGAGTTAACATTAATGTCACTGCCTCCAGAATTTTCTTTGTCCTTGACTGCTAATTCTTTCTGACAATGTGTGAATATTAGAGAACGAGGGAACTGGCTCATTTGTTATGTAACGATAGCTGTGGTGACCACATACATGTTCACACAGGCGTGCTGTCCGCTTGTGAGTGTTATGGCCAGCCGTTCCCTGTTCAGGCCAGATGACTAGGCCTCTGTACTGTCATAGCTGCTTGTTTTTATATAAAAGATACTGGGGCTAGTTGTCAGTAACTGTAAGGTTTTTATCTGAGCCTTAGGCCAACCTGACTTCACTTCTATGTGCAGTGGCTGTAATGCACTAATAAAACCCCCTGCAGATTTTTTAAAAGTTAATTGGCTTTATCTGCTCGGCATGTGTGATACTACTACAACAGAGGCAAGAATAGACTCGGAAGCCCTCGGGGAACTGTGGCTGTGGACACAGGATAGGGGGTTTCGGATCACTAGCTTTACTCTGAGTGGGGGGTTGCCTTTGTTTTGGCCAGAACATTGGTATTTTGGAATGCTGGACTCCATATGTGCTTAGTTTCAAACATACAGCGTGTATTTTAAAGAGAGAGAAGAAACAGCATATTTGAATGCTTTCTGAGGGATCATGTGACACTGGAGTAGACTGCTAATTCAGCTTTGCTAGCACAGGAATGAATTAGAATTTAAAATATAATGAAGTAGAAAACTGTTATTTTAAATTATATTGATATTTCACAGTATTACTGTTTTATTATTGATCATAAAGGTGTGGACAAAAATTAAATTCGCTTTCTGGTTCAATAATTTAAATAGCCTTCCATGTGATCGTGAATTTCATATGAGGGTGAAAGATTTCCCCACACAGATTTCACAACTGGTTCATATTAGTTGCATGGATTTGTAACACTGACCATCAGAAAACTGATTGCTTAGAAAGTGACTTCTGAGCTAGCTGTTCTTTTATATATTGCTACAGTGTTGATGATAAACAATTAATCTTTTTTACCTGTGATATTTCACATTCTTTTGAATGGTGGTGTACCCTGAATTATTATGCTTAGATATAGAGATAGATACAGGTATTAGGTTCCAGCTGACAAAGCTCTCTCTGTCTGCATTTCAGAGCATTTGCTCAGTAACATTGTAAGCAGAGAGTGTTGGGGACACCAGACGTTTGTTTCCGGCTTTTCCTGTAGATAGCTGTTACGCAAAATGTGCCGCTACACAACATGCTATTGATGTTTTTACCTTCAGATATAGCCACGGTCATGAAGCTTAATTTTGACTCATGCTAGAGTTGCATTTAACAGCAAGCCAATCAAAAGTAAAAGCGTTTAAAAATGATGTTGTCTTTTTTTATACAGTGGGGAAAAAAAGTATTTAGTCAGCCACCAATTGTGCAAGTTCTCCCACTTAAAAAGATGAGATAGTTGGATAATGCATGTATATTAAAAACAAAACATGCAGCAAGCAAAGGGTTTATAGGCTTAAAAAATTGTTTCTGTCTTAACTAGATGTGGAGTGTAATTTCTCCACCTTTAATGTAAATTAGAATTGCAATACATTAAAAATAAATATTTTTGTGCATTCTGCCTCGCATTGAGCTTTGTTTAGTGAAGTGTTGAGTTTGCAGGCCACTCTGAACCTCAGGTCCTGCGGTGTGGCCCTCTGGTACATGTACAGAGATCATGCGTTCCACTGGAAGAATGCTTTCGTATAGTGTTTCGCAATGTTGTGGGGGTGTTTTGGTGGCTGGTTGGGTTTTTGTGGCTCACGTCTATTGTGTGTGGGTGTGCTTGTATGGGATAGGGATGCACGATATATCGGCCACCATATCGGTATCGGCCCATATCGGCTAATTTTTTCTGTTATCGGTATCGGCCTGATAAGAAAATTTGGCCGATATCTTAAAGCCGATAAATAATGCATTATTTCCTTCAGAGACACTTCAGATGCGCGCTGTTCGTTTGCAGCCTTTTGTGCAATTGTACATTGTAATATTGTGTTTATTTGATGTATATCTGATTTATCTCATATAGAATGCGTTTGGTTAAGTTAAAAGAGCGCTTCAGTTTACCGGTGATCATCTTTAGCTCAGCACACGCAGCCCAAACAGGGCAAGAACATAGCAGTGTTAGCAGTCATAATTTCAATGGCAGGCATTAATAGATTTCATTTTAAAGATCACATCACTTACAACAGTTTTGAAGGATTTTAAACTTTTAATTACTTTTATGTTAAATTCCAAAAAAAAAGGGGGAAAAAAAACCTTCCTAACCCCTGGATGCTAAAAAAAATGGTGATCTTTTGGACTCCTACACTCATTCCAGCCTTTTTAGATTTTTTTTTAAGTAGTAAAGCTTAGCTCTGTGTGTATATGTGAGCAGGCATGAGTGTGTGTGTGTGTGTGTGTGTGTGTGTGCTACTGTTTGGTCTGATTGTCAGCTTGACACAGATAGTTGTTGACAGTAGGGGATTCATTGAGGCCAGCTGAGGATGGACAGCAGCCAACCATAGTGTCTGCACTGTTGGAACAGAGAATGTGTATTTATGAATTTGTGTTTTGTCTCAGCTTTGTTTGCATTTAATGTATTTTATTTTTATTAATATGGTCAAAATTGCTTGTGCAGGGACTTGAGTTAGTGTGAGAACCGTTTTCTCATTAGAGATGAAGTGTTGAGATTTAATGAAGCAAACCTTGACTCTAATATCTAGTTAGATAATAGAGATCTTATGTCATGCACACATACAAAAGTGTAAACATCCCTTATGACTATTGAATTATTCTGTACCCAAACTGATTCTGTGGGATTAAGATTTAATCTTAATCTTTAATCTTAATCTCAATTAAGAAAGTTCAATATTTTTGTTATGCTTACACTAAACAAAGCTCAATGTTGACTGCAGAATTCCTGACAGACAGACACAATATTCACTGCAACATGCAGTTCCCAATCAGCCTGCCTTGCTTCTATTGGATCAATACTTCACTGTCTCATAATAACCCTCCTTTTATTCCTATCTAATGGATAGAATTTAGCTTTCTACTGACTCCTCTGTGGTTATATGGCCAAAAATAATTTATTTTAACTGACCATATTCTGAAGTATCTGTACAACCCCATGGTACAATGACGCTGACTAACCCAAAGAAGGATTTGAAAAACCCAAATAAAAAAATATTTGACAGCAGGGGTTTTATACAGTGATCACAAGAAAAAAGAAAGGAAAAAAAAAACTGCTGAACAATCTGGAAGCTCAATGGTGAAAAGACCAGTTTCATATGAAATTGAAGCATGCAAGTTCAGATGTTGATGATATTAAAAGATGACATAAGATGACGACATAAGAAGCAACAGCAAGATTGTTGCTGTTGCTTTAAATAAAACAAACATTATCATGGAATTTGCTTTTTGCTTTTTCTCACTCATCAGTATGTTAAATTGCTTGCAGGTAGAAAGCAGTTTGAAAGAAATTAGTCATGAATGAATTTTCTGATCAAATTTGACAGAGTAATTGATTAGAAAACAAACAAACTATTGAATTCATTCGACAGAGCACTGAAGTTTCCATTTTTGTAACTTCTGACCCCTGCAGGGATGGATTTCCCTGTAGATGTGTTGGTGTCTGGCAGACATGAGGACTTGGAAAGTTCAGCCCAGAGCTACATGAACAAACTGCTCTACAGCAACCCAGATAACACACAATACTTTACCCTGCCCAGCATGAGAAAGGTAAAACACACACAACAGAGCTCGGATCATGTGGAGAATATCAGATGATACTGAAAAAGAAACTTTTCTGTGCAAAGTTATAGGCCTATACAATTTTACAATTTGGCATATGTATAAAAAAGTTATGTATAAATAACTTTTTAAAAGTTATTAAAAAGGTTTAATAACTTTTTTTTTTGTGTGTGTTTAAACCCTTTAAAAATGGACCCTGTTCACTTCCATTGTGCCTCACCAATGATTAAATTGTAGCCTGTAATATTTCTTTAAGAATCCTATTCTGGCTCTTTTAGATCCGGATCAGTCCTGCCAATGTCGGGTTTGTTCCTCTTTATGGAGCCAATCTAAAACACAAAGTCCTGGCTCTGTTTGATCCCGAGGACCAGTTCACAGGTAGCCCACTTTCCTGCCCATTTTACCTATCACGATAACATCATGAATGGATTTTATGACAATAACATCATGGATGCCTTCCAGGAAAGTTAGATTTTAATTTCTTTAGCGTATTATTTACTTTTATTCCTCTTCGCCTCCCTTCTCTTATCATTTTTTTTTCCTAGCTGTGGCATTGTTCTTGGCTGACCAGTGGTACGCAGTGGAAGATGTTCTCAGAACGTCAAATCCTGCAAGAGAAGGCCTTGTGAAGGTAATCTTTCTTTCTTTTTTTTTTTTTTGGAAAGTTTGGGCATTGAACTTTAATGAAATTATTCAGACACATTTTTGTACTTTTAACAGTGTCTATTCAGAATGTCGCTTCTTTTCCAAGTAAATAAAAAGCAGAAATCTGGCATTTTCTTCGAGGCCTTAAGTAGTTGCAAATGTTTATATATATATATATATATATATATATATATATACATACTTTTTTTATATATATAAGTTTATAATATATTTTAGTATATGTGTGAATGTTTAATTAGAGCGAGAGAGAGAGAGGGAGGAAACAAAAGCGAGGTTTGAGCAGTGAAATGTAGTGGTTTTGCCAAACAAATAATTGCGAACCGAACAGACAGTAGTTTGTGGCTGATCAGTGAGAGGTGTTTTTGTCTCAGTCTCTACTCTTTGCATACATAGGCTTGCTTTTATCAGAATGCAGTCCTGAAATATGTTTAAATGTACACAGGCACTCCCTTTCTCGCTCACTCAAAAATACACAATGCACCCTTTTTCTTTATGCTTGCACTTGTTCATTCCACTAATGTGTAGCATAACACACTCCATGTGTTGTAATATCCTGTGAGGCAGTCTGGATTTTCTCTGCAGGAATATCATCTTTATAACTTGACTGTTGCATGACGTTGTACGGCTGTTGTTTAAAGTCAGCCTGAAATGAAAATTTAACTTATTTTCTAAATGTATGTTACTGATCTTATTGTCAATTCATCCATTAATTTCTTTTTCTTTCTTTCTTTCTTTCCTTCTTTCCTTCTTTCCTTTCTTTCTTTCTTTCTTTCCTTCCTTCCTTCCTTCCTAATTTTTAATCAAAATGTCTTAACTCGATCTCTTTTGTGAATAATTGTATTTGCGCAGGCAAGGTCTGTGGGCGAGAGGACCGTCTTATATGTGCTGAACCGCATCATTTATCGGACGGTGGAAATGGGTTCTAACGAGGTGCCGTTCCTGTGCCACGGAGAAGACGTCTTTGCGAAAATCCTCTGGAAGAATGGAGAGGCAGTGGGCTTCTACTCGGTCAAATCTAAAGGTTGGTTCTTCTCCCTGGAGAGTCTGGCAGTGCTGTAGATGCATTGCTCATTCTGCCCATTGTGTGAATAAGTTTACATCATAAAACAGTCTACAGTGTCTTCATTAAAGGATGAGTGAGATATATAACTAGGCTTTGCCAGTTTATAAGAAGGCAAGCTCACAAGCTTCTGTGTTGTTGCCTAGTAATAAAGATCTTGGCTTGTACGGAAAGGTTGTAGATTCAAAAACTGCTAAAAAAAAAAAAAGAACACTTATTATTATTATTATTATTATCCTGTGAAAGATTAGATAGACCTAGAAAGTTGTGACATAAGGAAGCACACATAAGAAAAAAAAACGTGTTATGTTTAGTTTTGGCATTTAAGTCTATTATTAGAGAAGTAGTCAATTACAACAAAAATTCATTATTACAGTTACAAAAGTTTGAAAACAGAAATGGCTCCTCATTAAAATGAGTACTTTTGTCATAATTATTACTTATAATTACTTATATTATTACTTGGTATGTCATAATTATGACTCATCATTTTTTATATATTTTTTTATATTATTATGACTTTGCCTTAATTTCGATTTTTTTTTCCCCCCCGAGATCTCATCATTATGACAGTATCTTAGTTTTGACTTATGTCATAATTATGATGGTCATAATTAAGTCATAATTCTGAATCTATATAAAAACAATTTGACTTTTTATGACACAAATTTTTTTCTCATAATTGACTTGGTATGTCATAATTATGACTGTTAGAATTTAGACATTTTATATCATAATTATGACTCCAGTCCAGACGTCTCTTCCGTATGCTGTGTTCGTTCTCTCCTACAGGTAGCTTGTGTAATAGCTTTGTGAGCCAGTGCTACCTACTTCCTGTCATGGACTCTATATTTGTGCGGAAGGATCACCGTGGTAACGGTCATGGCTTGCAGATTTTGGAGGACTTTGTAGACTCCTTTAAAGATGATGAACTGGGCGTGAAATACCCTTTAACACCAGCAATGCAAAAGGGTAAGTAATGTGCTTCACTTCTTTGAAATACCCCTTTACTAGTTTGTGGCCTTATGCTGTACAAGGAAGGGGAAAAAAACCATTTGAATGAGGTGACAGTGTTGAACTTTAGTAAGCAAATGACTGTTGCAAATTCCTTTCCTGCACAATGTTATTGTATAGAGTAGCTGTTTTGAGACTTGCTCAAAGCTGTATTGAAATATAGCTGTATTATTAAATATTAAGAAGCACAACTGTTTTCAGCATTGATAATAACAATAAATGTTTCTTGAGCACCAAATCAGCATATTAGAATGATTTCTGAAGGATCATGACTGAAGTCTGGAGTAATGGCTGCTGAAAATTCAACTTTGCCATCACAGGAATAAATTACATTTTATTAAATCAAGTTTTTAAATTCTAATAATATTTCACAATAGTACAGTTTTTTTCTGTATTTTTTTTATCAGATAAATGCAGCCTTGGTGAGCATAAGAGACTTTTCAAACACATTTTTTAAAAATCGTACACACCGCAAACTATATTGTAATTTAAACTTGTGTATATATCGCATACAGTATATATTTAATTTTTTTTACTTGTTTACTTTTACTATATATTATGCAATTAGATTGTAGATAGCTACATTTCATTAATGTTTTACTAATGTATATAAAGAGTAATTTTAAAAAATATGCTCCAGTATGCAGACAGTACCTGAGCACATACCCGGCCGATGTGGACCTGTTGTGGGAGGTGGAAGGAGTCGGAGGTCCCTACCAGAAAGTGAAAGTGGCAAGCAAACTTGGCTCCATGACACTACAATGTGAGCTTTTGCACTGGCTCTTCCTGGGTCATATCTGCCTCTGCCATTATTCAAATTTAACAGTTTTTGGGTTGTTTTTTTACAACCTTTTTTTCAGCTTTTACCAATATATCGCATTGTTCATTGCAAGTGACATCAGCTCAGTTTCACATATTTATTTCAGTTATAGATTAGATTATATTTGTTGTGTCCATCTCCATACAGGCAACCACAGCTCATGGGCAGCAGAGGAAAGCAAAAACAGAGAGGCTGCGGTTAGTGAGGTGGAGATGACCGAGGAGAGCTGCCTGGACATCACGGTAAATTTGATCCGGTCTTTATGTAGTATAATCTCAGAAAAGCATTCTAGCATGTGGACAGTTACTGTACCTCTCTAAATGTATCTCTTTAAAAGCATGTTTTTTTTTTTTTGTATTTCATCTCCTTAATAAAAGACAAATTGCTATCTGACTAAATCACCTCTAAGCAATTTTCCAATCAATCTTTCCAAGCAATCTGATGTTTTTTAGCATTATGATTTCTTTTACATTAAAAGATTATTTAAAGGGGTCATATGATGCGATTTAAATTTTTCCTTTGTCTTTGGAGTGTTACAAGCTCTTGGTGCATAAAGAAGATCTGTAAAGTTGCAAAGACTAAATTCTCAAATCCAAAGAGATACTCTTTATAAAAGTTAAGAGTCAGCCACACCTACCTAAAACGGCTCATTGTAACCCCCCCCACACACATATCTACCTCACTATGTGGGAAGATTTGCATAACGCCACCCAAATGTTCATGCAAACAAAGATGGTGTAACCTCTAGTCTCGCTGTAGTATTGTTGACGCTGCAGCCATGTCGTGAAGACGCTGTGTGCTTCGTTGTGAAAGCAAAACTACTTTGTTTGGTCTTCCAAAAGAGGACGATATCCGCTTCGTCATGCCTACAGCTGATCTGTGCTGGTCGCTGAGGCAATACATCAACATTCA